AAGAAAACATCAAGTGGATTATGTTTTTAGATCAGTTGTTGAACTTGAAAGAAGGAAAAAAAGAAGAAAACATCAAGTGGATTATGTTTTTAGATCAGTTGTTGAACTTGAAAGAAGGAAAAAAAGAAGAAAACATCAAGTGGATTATGTTTTTAGATCAGTTGTTGAACTTGAAAGAAGGAAAAAATAAGAAAACATCTATTAGATTTATATCAGTTGTTGAACTTGAAAGAAGTAAAAAAAGAAGAAAACATGTATGTCCAACAAGTTTCCAAGTGAGAAACAGACACTTTGATAATTGATTGACACATAGATAAACGACAATGATACCGATAAATACTAATTCAGTCATTTTTTTCTATTCTAGGCTTAAAAACAAAAACAATGCAACAAGATACTTAACGACCACATTATCGCTACAACAATTATATATGACATTTACAAATTAATTTTACAATACAACAAAATAGATCTGTCGACTCACTGCGTCTTATAGGTTAAAACTATTATCATTTCATGCATATGTCTATTAGAACGCGTATTTAGTTCATTTCGTATTACAAATGTTCAGAAAATCAAGTTTTTATTAATTTGAATTTCATCGTTCACTATCAAAAGGTAATTTAATAACAAGGGCGCTTCATCATTTAACGATACCAATAACTATACAGTACTCGTCATCCAATGAATAGGCCTGGTGGTTAGGGCCCCCGGCTCTCAATCTGCGAGGCGTGGCTTCGAATACCCGTCACCGAACATGCTTGCCCTTTCAGCGGTGGGGGCATTATATTGTAACGGTCAATCCCACTATTCGTTGGTAAAAAAGTAGCCCAAGAGTTGGCAGTGGGTGGCGTTGACTAACTGCCTTCCCTCGAGTCTATCACTGCTAAATTAGGGACGACTAGCTCTCGCGTGGCTTTGCGCGAACTTCGAAACAAACCACCAAATCCAATAAATAGATGGAATATCAAACCTGACCTCCCCAGATCCCGATAAAGAAGCTACAACTGGATAGGGTAAAGGTCACGTGCACTTTGCTTGTCTGAAGAATCACACTGATTTCCTAGTTTTAATTTGATCCAATAAATGCAGCATGATGAGAAAGTTGGATTCATGACCTCTTCCTTGAAAGACCCATAAATAATGACTTTTTTTGCTTTTGCACAGTGACAAATAAGATGAAGAAGAACAACAACAAACAAAGGTGAAATGGGCCACAACTGACTAGTTCAGAGCGACACTAGGAGTTGCAGTCTTGGAGGAATATTATGAAAAATCGCTCAGAAAGAGAGGACGACATTTCGAAAGCTCACCTGAAGGCGACTATAACAGGTGTTATTCATGACATTATGTTACAAATAACGCCTAGACCGCTACTATGTCTGCTGTATCTTAGCCTGCCTGGTCAGTTCTGGTATTAGGCCAAAAGCCTCTTCGGCACTGGATATGACATATGTAGAGTGGTTTTTACATTTTTTCTTTATCTCCACTGGATTTTCTAGGTTGTCGTTAAAGGATGTAAAATTGTTCATTGAACTTATCGAGTTTCCATTTCGTCAGATTGAGATACCAATATAGATGACGTCCCGTGTCGTAGTGCTGATTATTAGCTGAAGCCTTTTGAATGGTGTCGTTGAATCACCTAGTTTTCTTGTTTTCAGGGCATTTGCTAAAACTGGTAACTGAGCAGTAATACAAACAAACGGAACAACTTCAGGGAACAACTTCAAAGATTGGTAACTGAGCAGTAATACAAACAAACGGAACAACTTCAAAGATTGGTAACTGAGCAATATGATAAACAAGAAAGGTTATCAAAAAAGTGGTTAGCTTTTGAACGTCTGGGTTAACTTAATTAACCTGGTTTTGAGTCTGGAGATAAGTATATTTTGGCTAAGCACCAATTTGGTTACACAAGTAGCACCAAAGTGACACCAAGACACTTCTATTGAAATGTGTTTATTTGATCCCATAAATACATTTACATTAAGTAAAATAACCTTGGCCAACTTATAGACAAATATGAATTATATTAGTTCGTTAAACCAAATTTCTCCCAGTTTTAGGGTATTTTTACATGTAGGAACAAAAAAGGAACAGATTTGTATAGTTTAAGGCAGTGACATTTCTTCTATCTTCTCTTATACAAAATTTATAGATCATAATTGAATTCGAGATATTTCATATCCGATACTTTAAAGGCGGTTTAGTAAATAAAAAAAATACTTTGATTTTAATTCTGGTTGAGCTTTAAAAAGTAGCTCGTGACGAACTAATAGGATTCTCTTTATATTTAATTTTCTCGTCATTACCTTTAATTCCTTTACAGATGGCAGTAAAGTAGTGGATGCTTATAGTAATGTGAAAATATGACGTCAGAAGCCTTATATTTTAACAAGTAAAGGGTAGACCTTTTTTTTTTTGCAAATCAATTGGTTTCTTCTTTCTTCTTAAATTTTCGAATAAGTATGAATTTTTCAAGGTGATAAAATGGTGTGTCAAAGGCCAGGCAACAGACAATTGCGATGACGTACACGATCACGAGATGACTGATGTATATATAAAACTGTGGACAAAAAACAACAACAAAATCACTCACGGGGACAAAATCATTCGAGGTGAAAACATAAGTATAAAAGAAACTCAACAGAAAATTTGGTAATAAGTAAAGACATTTTAAATCATAATGAAATATATACCAATAAACGTAACCTTTAACCGTAAAGAAACAACATCAATAACAGAGCAAATCGAGAAATCATTAGACAAATTACACAGATTAAACTTAGAGCGCTTACTGATTGTGAGGATTAATTTGAAGTTATACGGCCCTTTTCCTTCGTAAATATTTTCTACATATTAATCCGCTTCATGCAACTGAGATGCGGAGTAATTAATGTTAACAACCGTGTAACTCATGTTTATTCTCAAGTTTTCGCGAGACAATGACTGAAAGTTTAAGCATGAAATTCCTGTTATATTTCAGTAACGATAAGCAGATAATCAAAGGAGGTCAGGGTTTCCATGAACAGGGTACCAGTTAAGGAAGGAATTAGAACGACGTAAGAAAAAAG